AATAAACACAGTTTTAGATAGGTTTAAGGTTTGTCAGATTATATGATATTGGTACAGTACAATAATCAAACATTACATTTTTCTTTCTGGGATACTACTATATAGTACCTTAATTTTTTCACATGGAATTTACATTTGTACAACAAAACAAGAACTTTTAAACTTAGTCACATGCTAGCAGATGCTTTAACAATGTATACTTCCATTGCATAAAGATTCAGAAACATTTCTACTCCAACTCCTGTGAATAAGTTTCCCATAGAGTAGTTCAAGCTTTGAAATAAAATGTGAAGAAATTATGCAAATATGGCAAAAAGCTCAGTATTCAGATGCACTAGAAAATGTCTAAATGAGACATAGTGGGATTTCCGTGTTTACCAGAGACAGTTGTCACACTGTGAAGTCAGGGCTGAGATTGTCATTGTCATTGAAAGTATAAACACTGGTGCTAATAGAGGCTCCAGGAGTCCCAAGAAGGCTGTGTGTTAGAAGTCTTTAGATAACTCATGTTTTCTTTATTAACCCAGCTATCAAAACACGAAGAACAGAAAGTCAACTTTCTCGATATCTATACATCCATCATTTGAGCACCCCACCTTCCCCACACCATTTACCTCTCAGTAAGAAGTAAATAAAGGAAATGAACATGGCGAAAAACATCATCAGTATGCTCAGGATCATAGTCACGTCATCCAGCCACATACTATCCAATTCAAATTGTGCATCTGAAACAAAGACTGGGTAGACATGCAAGAGTTAGGCAGTTCAAAACATAAAAAGGAATACTGCATTACATATTTCTGATAGATTTGCCCTTTTGGTTCTTATTGCTCCATATTTCTGGATGTATGAGGTTGGTGAAGAAATAGCTGAGGTCATAGGGATGAATCTAAAATGGATGTGTTTGGGTTAAGCCTGAAATAAACTGTGAGGAAACAGAAGTACACTGCCCTATTCAAAGGCTCATGGCATATGCTCTGGCTGACAAGAGTCTGAAGGACTCACATATGTGTATTACTACCTTTATCTCCTTTATGAAGTGATGAGATGCCATAAGATTCAGGGTCTCTAAAGGGTATGGTAAAGATGAATAAACTCCCTTAAATTGATGATATCTTACATGTTTCAAAATAGTTTGCTAATGTATAGCAGAAACAGCTATTAAAAGTATATTTTCTCTCTTAGGATCCTCCTTGCTTCCTAGCTTCTCTGGCGGTGTGGATCATAGCCTGGTAAACCTTTGTTCTATGTCTAATATCTATACATGAGAGAGTACATACCATGATTGTCTTTTTGTGACTGGGTTACCTCACTTAGGATGGTTTCTTCTAGTTCCATCCATTTGTTTGAAAATTTCAAGATTCCAATGTTTTTTCCGCTAAGTAGTACTCCTTTGTGTAAATGTACCACATTTGCTTTATCTATTCTTCAGTTGCATTTGGGTTGCTTTCAGGCTCTGGCTATTACAAATAGTGCTGCTATGAACATAGTTGAACAGATGTCCTTGTTGTACGAACGTGCATCTTTTGGGTATGTGCCTAAGAGTAAAATTTCTGGATCTTGAGGTAGACTGATTCCCATTTTCCTGAGGAACTTAAATACTGATTTCCAATGTGGCTGTATGAGTTTGTACCCCCCCCCCCCCTGAATGTAGGTGTCAGTTAGGAGGCCTGGGCAATCTATGGGGCCTCTGGTAGTGGATCAGTATCCCTAGTGTACTAATGAACTTTGGCAGCCAATTTCACATAGATGGATTCTCTCTCAGCTTAGACACATGGGTTAGGGCCTAGGCTTTGCTCCAAATAATGTGACAGACTTTGAATATCCCCAATGGAAGGCCTCACCCTCCCTGGGGAGCAGAAAGGGGATAGGGTAGGGGGTCAGTGGCAGGCAGGGGAATAGGGGAGGGAGAGGGAACTGGGATTGACATATAAAACAAGATTGCTTCTAATTTAAATAAAAGTATATTTTCTAAGTGAAGTAGAAAACATTCTCATATTTCCAAATAGATTATTATTCTCTGTAATTGTAGTACAAATGTTAACAATTGGGGTACTCATTTCAATGCCACATAATTATGTTGGTTAGAAGCTGCTTTCATAAATTAACTCTGGTTATTAAACTATCTAATGACATGATAGTAACTCAGAAAATAAAAATACATATGTTAGAAAATCCAAAATTTACATTTTGCTATATTCACTGAAGAGTTAAAAGTGGGATTTAGAAAACATATTTGTATGTCTATGTTCATAGTAGCATTATATGTAGCACGTAGAACATGTTGGTATCAAAAGTGCCCATCAGTGGATGAATGGATAAGCAAAATGTCTAATATCAATACACTGTTTTTCAAAATTATGAAGGAAAGGAAATCTGCAATATGTTATATCATGAATAAACTTTGAAACTATTACATTGAATTAAATAAATCAGTTCCCCAAGACAAATATTACAAGAGTCCACCTATGTAAAGCACTTAGCCTAATTAAGAATATACAGGCAGTGGACACATGGGGACGGGCCTAGGTCCTGCCCTGGATGAAATGACAGACTATGGAGATCCCCCAAGGAGGGCCTTACCCTCCCTGGGGAATGATGTGGGAATTGGGCTGGGGGCTGGAGGTGGTGGTGGAGGGACAAGGGAGGAGGGGTGGGAGAGGGAGCTGGGACTGACATGTGAAATATGCATGTTTCTAATTTAAATAAAAACATATATTGAGAAAAAATAAATAAAACAAAGAAGTGTCACACAGCTTAAAAAAAGAGTATACAGGCAGAAAATAGGATGGTAGTTTCCAAGGGCTGGAGGTAGGTATAGTCCCTGTCAGGGAGTCACTAAAGTTTTAGGAAGACAAAAGTTCATTTAAAATAGATGAAAATGATTTTTGCACAGAAATGAAAATATACTAAATGTCATGGAAATATAAAACTAAAATATTAAGATTGTAAATTTTATGTTATGTATATTTAATTTTAATAAAATATTTTATCATGACTCATTGTTATGAAAATTCAACAGCTTCCATAGGATGAAAAAATGTTTGTAAAATATATGTTGACAAATGATTTGATTCTGCATTATAAATATCAAGAATGTTTGCTCTAATCACTTTTTATCACAGAGGTGCAAACAGACATTCTTACATTTATTTTGGCATTTATTTATTGGATGTAATATCAATGGTACAGACAACAAAATAAATAGGAGAAAAACTGGACTGTACTTTTTAAATTGTGTATCTAAAAGTATAATTGACAAAATAAAAACACATACAATGGAATGGGTAACAAGGATTAATAAATATTGATAAAGCATAGAGTTTCTGAAACTCAACAATCAAACCAGACAACATCACCTAAATATAAGCAAATGACTTGAATAAACATTTCTTCAAAAAAGATATATGAATGGACAATATGCACACAAAATGCATATCAGTTGGAAAAATACTGTAATGAGCTACTTACTGCCCATTTGGATGTCTGATATATAAAAAGTTTAAGAGCCAGTATTGGAAGAGGCATAACAATCTGCACTATTGTAGGGTGGGAATGTGAAATGAACACTGTGGAAAATGGTATAACAGTTCATTAATCATATGTAAACAGAGGTATCATAGGATCCTGAAGTTCCTCCTCTTAGTGTACACCTTCGAAGAATTAAAGTCAGAGTCTAGAAGAAATACTTGTATACTCATATTCATAGTAACATTATGCATAATGTTAGTGTGCAACATGTACTTCAGCCCCTCAGGGATGTGTTTCATTAATGGAACTATACAACTATTTCATAAGATAGTAGAAAAATATAACAGATTCTTAATCTTATCTTTCTTATAAAAAATGAAAGAACCATTTTACATTAATATTATTTGATAATATTTTTCTAAAATTCTTTTTCTATCAGTCAATAATTTATTTTAATTTTTAAGTGCTATCAACACTAAATTTATTTGTTATTATTGTAAGCCGGACATACATAAATTTTACAATGCCAGCCGTTTTAAACTCATCATTTGAATAGTGAACATGTCTATATTTTTGTGTAACCACTAGTACTATCTATTTCCAGAATGTTTTTTTATCTCACAAGCTGAAACTTTAATCCAACAAACAATTTCCCCTACTTGTAACTCCAGCAACCACAACTCTATTTTATGTATGCATGGTGTTGACTGCTGCAAGTACCTGATATAAAGGGAATGGTAAAGTATTTGTCTTTTTGTGACTAACTAGTTTATCATGATGTTTTCAATGTTTGCCTATGTGGACATAGTAGTCCACAGTGTAAGATAATTTAAAAATTCTCTCTTTCAAGTTAATTTTATTATTTAAGGCCATTTGTGTCTTCAACCCATCTAATCAATATAAACATGTCCTCTAATTTGAGTCTTCTGCATTTGGGCTTTTAATGAATAATTGTACATATTTTAGTTAATTACTTTATTTTGCTGATTAAGGGTAGAGGACACAATTTAAATATGTTACATTTAGCTATCCCAAAACTTTCACTATTACCATGTAAATTTCCTTCTCAAAGAGAACCAAAGAGAAGAAGAATTCATTATGAGTGTTTATGTTCACCATGAAACTCAGAAAAATTTCCATGAAAATGTAGATACTTTTGAGAAGCAGTTCATCTTTTGGACATCAATTGTAAGAAGAAATCTGTCACCTCAGACATTTAAGGTCTACTAGATTATTATCTCTTCTAGCCTAAAGACAAGGAATGACCAAAATAATTTATTAAGTAAAGTGATGATGTTAAAGGTAACATTATTAAATTGAAGAAAACTGTTTAGGAGCAGAAGTACCACCACTTTGTATCTTTAAAACCCATAAAACTGCAGAGGCTGTAATCCAAATATCATGATGTGTTCCAGAGCCTCTTGTTCCTGAAATTCAAACTGATACCACTCTACATTGGCTAAACTGTAACTAAGCATTTGGAAAAAGAGAGATTTTTAGAAAGATACCATTTTCTTTATATTGCATACCTCTATTTTTTCTATACAAACTGAAGATGAGTAATAGGAGCGTAGCAGTAGAAAGAGTGGCTATCAGCATGGCAACACACCAAGGGGAGCTGTGTGTGCAGGAGCAACCTAAAGAAAAAAATGTTAAAATCACTGATTTTTGGTTGGTAGAAACTTTGAATTAAGAAACAAGGGAAATGTCTACATTTTAATCCTGTCTTTTTGTATATCAAACAGTGCTAAGGTTAAGAAGTGAATGATTAGAGAACTGTTGGCCACAGGAACAAAAATCACAGTTGATTTTAGGATGGAAATTGTCTCGTGTTGAAAACAAACATATTTAAAAATCATGTTTGTCTTTCTCTCATCCATACATCAGTGGGATAATTAGATAGTAGAGTATAATGCTCATGGCTGTCATTGTCAGTTTTTCTAAGCCTGAAAGATGCTGGAATTAGGATAACTCTAAAGACCTCTGAAGTGCCTGAAACTCTATATTTTGGATATAAGGATCTCATTAGGAAGACTTAAGATGGCTGATATCATGCAGAAACAGCAGCCTGGCTCTCCAGGAGATAATATGGGCAAAAGAGAAAAACTGCAATATGAAAAGGTCTGGGTGTATGTGGACAACAGGGAGGCAACAGTAATAGAGAAGTGAGAAAACATTCTCTGCTTGGTGCAGGATGCTTGACACCGACAATAAAGCAGAAGTAGGAAGCCATTTCAACATGGATTTTAAACATGGATGAGGGGAGTGCCAGCCTACAATCCCATTGCCAGAGAGTCTGGGAAACAGAACCTTCAACTGATGACTGATGGAAGCAGTGGCAGACTCCCACAGCTAACACTGAGCTGAACTCAAGGAACCCAGTGACAGAAAGGGAGGAGTGATGAGCAAAGGGGTCAAGACTGGGCTTGTTTAACCCACAGAAACAGCTGACCAGAACAAGTGGGAGCTCTTGGACCCCAGACTGATGGTTGGGAGGCCAGCATGGGACAGATCCAGACCCCCTGAATGTGGGTGTCAGTGAGGAGGCCTAGGCAATCTATGGGGCCTTGGGTAGTAGATCAGTATTTATCCCTGGCATACAAATGGACTTTGGGTGCCCATCCCACAATGAGGGATGCTCTCTCAGCCTGGACTCTTGGGGGGAGGGCCTAGGCCCTGCCCTGGATGAAATGACAGACTATGGACAGCCTCCATGGGGAGCCTCATCCTCCCTGGGGAAAGCAGTGGGGATTGGGGGAGGGGGAATGGAAGGGTTGGTGGGAGGTCATGGAAGGAGGGGGAGAGAGAGGGAGCTGGGATTGACATATGAAGAAACCTTGTTTCTAATTTAAATTTAAAAAACAAAAGAAAAGACATAAAAAATAAAACAAAGAACTTTTGCTTGTTGTGGTTGATTAGTAGCTCAAGATCCTAGGTGAACCAGGCTAAGTGATACAGAACTGTATACTGAAACCCATAAAAAGAGTACTATGAGATTATTAAAAAAGAAGCCATGAATCAAGCCTGAATAACCTTCATTCACCTGAAAACCTGGAGAGATGAATCTTTAACAGATTCCAAGCAATAATCAGACCCTTGGCATGAACTGCCCAAAGATGAGGCTAATGTTCATGATTGAAATCAGAAGGAATTTGTACATGTGTGACCAGTTTGGAAATTCACCTCTGTAGCACTGAACATAGTCCTAGGAAAGCATCAGTAATCAAATTAACCAAAGAAAGATCCATCAATGAGAATAGGACTACCCCTAACAGGGGAATTCCCAGCAGTGGGGAAAGAACAGGAACAAATCTGTATGAAAGACAGCATCAGGTCAGTCACTTTTCAGATACCATTTAGTTTGGTTTTGCTTACTACACCAGGTCCTATGAGCAGAACATCTCAGCCCTGTTCTGCTCTGATATATATTCGTTTTTCTTTTCCTCCTTTTAGTCCTCTGTTTTTACAATTTTTGTTTGCTTTTCGTTCTCTTAAAAACACAGTATGTCATGTTTTGCATGGCCCTTGTGCCTCATCTTCTTTAAAGATAAGGTTGTTTTACACGGTCACCAGCATATTTTAACTTTGTCTCGTCAGTACATTGTCCACTCAGAATATAATCAATGAACAAATGGATCAAGGAAATCAAAGAAATCCAAAGGAAATATTTAACCAAATGAGGAGGCAGCCTAGAGAATAGGATAAAACCCTTACCAGCTACAAACCTGACAGAAGATTAATATTTGGAATATGTAAATAGTGAAAAAAACCCAAACACCAAGAAAACGTAACAATCTAATAAAAATGGGTTATGGAGAGATGATTCAGTTGTTAAGGATGTTTGTTACTCCTGTAGAGGACCAAGGGTTGGTTCTTAGCACCTACATGTTCACACACAACCATGTGTCACTCTAGTTCTAAGGGGATCTGATATCCTTTCTGACCTCCATGGCCACTAGGCATGTATATGGTGCACACACATAAATACAGGCAAAGCAGTCATGTATATAATATAAATAAAATATCTAAAAGTTAAAAAGTAGAGTATAGGATTGAATAGACAGCTATCAAAAGAAGTATAAAAATGGCTGTTAAATATTTTTAAAGTGTTAAACACTATTAGTCACTAGGGGAATATTGCAGTATTTCCTTGATGAGTACAGATGCCAAAATTCTCAATAATATCTTGGAAACTGAATTTAAGAAAACACTAAAAAGATCATTATGATCAACTTGACTTCAGAGATGCAGGGATGATTCATTTCTCTAAATAAGTAAATAATTAAAACAACATTGAGGTCCCATCTCACCTAAATAAGAATATCTGTCATTAAGAAGAGAAGTGACAACAAATGTTGGCATGAATGTGAAGAAAAAAATGACCCTTAATGGCAGGAATATAAATTGGTATATCCACTATGAAAATTAATGTGATGTTGAAAAACCTCAATACACCCCCCTCTTTTTGAGACTCAGAAGGTCGCCTCAGTGGAAAATTCCCCAAGGTCCCCTAGGCAGGGAACAAGGTCAGATTAAAAAGAACAACTGGTCCAGAGTGCTGATGCAGGAAAATGGCAGGCTATAAAGATAAGCTTAATTTTGACCTTGTGGTTTCTCCAGGAAGGATGAGTTATCCCCGCGCTTCTTACAATACCCCTATTGCTTGCCCAGATCTGCACCTGCAGTGGCTCCGCTTTTTACAATACCACTATTGTTTTGCTTGCCAAAATTATGTACATAAAAAGAAAACTGTCCTAAAGACCAGCGGGCTCAGCTAGCTAAGGCTGCTGAATTGCCCAGAGATGCCTATGTAAACAATAAACCTCTTGTGGTTTGCATCCAACTGTCTGGTTATTGAGCTCGGGATGTCATGGGGTATTCAGCCTGATTACTTAAGGTCTTTCAATGTTTTCTCAGAAAACTGAAAGAATTACCATGTGACTCAGTTATACTATTCATGGGTATATACCCAAATAACTATCCTACTACAAAGATATGTGTAGATACAGTCCATTGCTGTTGTAGTCATAATAGCTAAGACATGAAATCAGCCTAGATGCTAATCAACTGATTAATGAGTAATGAAAATGTGGTATATATATGCAATTGACTTTTGCTCATCTTCAAAAATTTTGAAATTTGTAAGATATGTCATTGGAAAAATTATGCTGAGTGTTATAACTGAAAGACAAATGACACATGTTCTATCTCATATGAATATTCTAGATTAGAAAAGTTTTTAAAATTTTGTGTGTGTGTGTGTGTTGACAGCTTTCAGGAGTAGTAATAGTATAACAATAACATAATATATAAATAATAATGAGAAATATTGCCAGTGGAAAAATTTAAGCTAGTATGATAATTAGAGGATGGATGACATGAAGGCAGAAGGTGGGTTAATCAATAGTAATGATGTCTATTAGAGATGTATGGGGACATTTTTTATAAGTAAAATAAAAATAAAATTTAGACTGGAGGGAGTGGTACATGCCTTTAATCCCAGAACCCATGGAGGTAGAGGCAGGTGGATCTTTATGAGTTTGAGGCCAGCCTATTCTACAGAACGAGAAAGCTACATAGAGAAACCTTGTCTTGCAAAGCCTACATATAATTCAAAAAATAGTTTAAACGATAGTATTCTGCATGCTGACCCCAAAGTCCATAGGTTATTAAATTAAAATCCTTGTGCCCATATGGGCTGTCTCCCTATTTGTTGCTGATTAGGCAGGCCCCAAAGTCCATCAAAATTATTCATACTATAGCCATTGCTCTTGGTTCTTCAAGAATAAGTGTGAAGATGTCACACGTTTTCATTCCACCACAGAGTTAGCAAGCTGAAATTTAGCTGGAAGCTTCTCAAATATTGGGTAGCTTTCCTAGTGTTGGGAATTGCTTTTCAGGCAATATTAATTAAATATATGCAACACAGGTTATAAGACTTACTACTTATAAGCCTTTTGGAATAATGTTTGCCAGTAGTAAAGCCTCAGTAATTACTTTTATCTTATGATGATATGATAGTTCTTATCATTTGATCTACTCTGCTGATTTTAGAGTGATGCAGAAGCACTTTGAGACATGATGAATAAAATGTTGCCAGCTCAAGGTGCACCAGAGATAAAGACTTAATAGTGGGAGGGAATTTGGATGGAAAGGTTTATTTAGAAAAGTTTATAACTACAAGTCTCACAATAGGGATTTGAGATTCTGAAGAAGGCAATGCATGTATTCAATGATGCAGTCATAAAGAGAATCATCATCAACAACAACAACAAAAACTAGATTGATCAAGACATAAATAAAGCTTCTTTTGCCACAGCAACAAGCAAGAATAAATGTAGTGAGGCTTTGTGCTATATGAGTTAGATGCAGTTTTGGAGAGTGAAAGTTGTTTCAATTCAGGAGATCAACTGGGAATGAAAGAGTAAATAATGAAATAGGAGAGTAACCAGAAGTGCTGACACCCAAATCCTTACCTAACAACTAAGCTATACATGGGAAAATTTTCAAAGGCTTTGAATATGTACTGAAAAGATAGTTTCATATAAATGAAGCTGTTAGTTCACGGTTATTAAAATTAGCACACCTTTAAAACCTGAACAGCTATACATTTGGGGTTTTTTTTGTGACCTTCAAGTTCACTTCCTCCCAGTATAGTACTGTTGACAAAGAATGCATTTTTTCCTCCTTGGAAAACAAACCATCTGATACTTAAACATCTCTGAATAGGTCAGTTTCCTTGGTGTTGCACTGAAGAAAACTATGTAGCCTTTTCTGCAATGTGCAGTTTAGGACTTCACTTTCTGCCCTAAATGAGTCCATTAGAACCTTGAAGAAGTCAAGAGAAAAGGATGCACAAATGTTGATGTTAAGAAGCTTTCCATTTTTTATATCTGTCACAACAGGAAAGGAAAATTTCATTTTGACTAACGCAGATGAAGCAAAAATGTCACAAACAACAATGTCAGCAGCTACATCAACAAGAGAAAGTCTTTTAAGGATAATGATATATGTATAATATATGACCCATGATAATACCCTTGCAGACAGGCTTCAGAATGAAGTACCAAGCAGTGTTAATTATCTTTCCCTATCCCACTTTGGTTCTCCCATCCTGAAAACCTACTTACCTTCTAGAATATGTAGTTTAATACTTGGAATTATGATGAAGAGTATCATCACAATCAGAAGTGCACCCACAAACATCTTCCAAATAAAATTCCAAGAAAACATTTCATCTGAAATAGAAAGCCACAAAATTAGCCTAGGAAACCGATAGTGTTTGAACCAACCCAGTTAGAAGTGGCACATCCAATTCTCCAATTCTGTCACCTTGGAATGGAAATGTTAGGCCAGTTTGGAGAGGCAGATGCAAATTGTATGAAAAGTAGCATAGGTGTAAGTTTCTGTTTCATGACCTTGCTGACTTTAAGAGAAGAGGAAAGGTAAATTTCTCCTCTCTCCTGTCAAGGCTCAGACACAGGCTTCCAGGGAATATATAAAGTCAATTCCAAATTAGTGCTTCAATTTTGTCTAAACTCTTCGGACACATGAAATGCCCATATCCTCACTGAACGGGCCCAGAGAGTAGAAACAATAAAAGGGCAAGTGTACTGGTGAGTTCTTTTGTCAACTTGACACAAACTGTAGGGATCTTGGAGGGAAGAATACAGCTTGAGTAACTGCCTTCATCAGATTGACCCATGGACTTATCTCTTGGGCATTTTCTTGATTAATTATGGATGCAGGAATGAGGAAATGATTGATGTAGGAGTACTCCTCCCATTGGTAGGCAGTTAGTTTTTGTGATAATATTTATGATTTAATAAATCTTTCCTGGTGTCACCAGCCGCCGCCTGGCCACGCCACCTCTTGCATGCATTCATGCAGGCACGCAGGCTGGCATGCTCGCTTGCTCTCTGTCGCTCTATCTCCCTCTGTCCTCATGTACCTTTTCCTCCACTTTCCTCCTCTCCCCGGCTGAGGGAGCCGCTCTCCGCGCGGTGCATTGTGGACACTGAGGTTGAGCCTGCTGCCTTCACAGCCAGGGGAGCAAGAAGAGGCCGCGACCGGGCAGAAAATGCCAGAGTTGTCGCTGCCAGAGAAGAGTCGACTGGCCTGCTGCTGCCCCAGTGAGGCCCGCCCACTTGTTCGCCTGGCCCCCTGCCCGGGTCACCATGCAGCCTGCTTCTGCAAAGTGGTACGATCGAAGGGACTATGTATTCATTGAATTTTGTGTTGAAGACAGTAAAGATGTTCATGTAAATTTGAGAAATCCAAACCCACTTTCAGTTGTCTTGGAGGAAGTGATAATTTTAAGCATTTAAATGAAATTTATCTTTTTCATTGTATTGATCCAAATGATTCCAAGCATAAAAGAACGGACAGATCAGTTTTATGTTGTTTGAGGAAAGGAGAATCGGGCCATTCGTGGCCTACGTTAACAAAGGAGAGGGCAAAGCTCAATTGACTGAGTGTGGACTTCAACAACTGGAAAGACTGTGAGGATGATTCGGTTGAAGATATGTCCAATTTTGACCGTTTCTCTGAGATGAAAAAAAGCTGTACATTGTTGCTTGAGAGTCTGTACATTTTAGACCAGATTTGTATTGAACTGTCAGTATGACAAATGAGTGGAAAATGTTAATACACTACTGGATTTTTTATTTCCTGTTTTGATTGCAGCATAAGCCCTAGCTGGAAAACCTCAATGTATATTCATGACAGTGAGGATTTTTTTTAGATGTCTACATTCTTTCTAATAAACTGTTGGAAGATTTTAAAAATAAACCCTTCCTGAGGGTTGAGGATGCAAAACCAGCCACAAGCCATAGAGTTCAGCCAGTGGTGATACACACCTTTAATCCCAGCATCCATACTAGTTAGCAATAGAAGCTAGGCATACCTTTAATACCAGGACTCAGGAGACAGAGGGAAATGGATCTCTGTTAGTTCTAAGTCACACTGAGCTACACAAAATTTATCTAGTCCTAAAGAGAAAAAAGAAAGCAAACTGATCAAGCCATGAAGATCAATCTAGTAATCAGCTTTCCTTTATGATTTGGGCCTCTATTCCTACTTGAGTTTTTGCCCTGACTTCCCTCAATGGTGGACTGTGACTTACAAGTATAAGCCAAATCAGACAATTACCCCAAATTATTTCAGTCATGGTGTTTATCACAGTCAGAGAGCAAACTAGAATAGTGGAGATGCTTACATTTGACAAGGTAGATTAAAGAAAAACTTATGAGCATTAATAACATCTCTTTGAGAATCTACTGCACAGAGAGGACTGAGAGGTATGTGACCAGGTTCCTATCTGGACCAAACAGCCTCTGAGCCTTAGGTCCTGGAGCAAAACCCTAGGCCCTTCCCATACCCACCCCAGCCACACTAGCAGGTGAACAGGAAAGACTCGTGAAGGCAGACTACACCAACAGCCTCCCTTCTAAACCCACCCATTTCCCATGACTTCAGTGCTCCCCCTGGGACATAGACATCAGCTGCACAGAGAGGACTGAGAGGTGAGTAATCATTTTCTCATCTGGACCAAATAGCTTCTGAGCCCTAGGTCCTGGGGCAAAATCTGGATCCTTCCTCCATCCATCTCAGTCATACTAGCAGGTCAGCATGAAAATTTCTGCAAACAGGTTACACTAACAGCCATCCCCCCATACTGTAAGCTACAAATCTCACTCTGCTCCCAAACCCATCCATCCTCTGTGATCCCAGTGGCTCCCTGGGACACAGACATCTACTGCACAGACAGGACTGAGAGAGGACTGAGAGTTAGGACTCATAGAGAAGGCTGAGAGGGTCGAATCAAGAGGCAAAAGACACTGCCTGCACTAATGGGAAGAAAATATGGGCAGGCACCAATACAGGAATACATTCAACAACCTAAAGACCAATATGACAACACCAGAACCTGGTGGTACTGTGTCAGGGAGACTTGATATCCCAATGCAGAAGTAGCAGAAGAAAACAACCTTAAAAATAACTTGATCAAGATTATGGAGGCCCTTAAAGGAGAAATGAAGAATTCCATTAAAGAAATGGAGAAAAAGACAAACAAAAATTGGAAGAAATAAATAAATTCCTTAAAGAAAACCAAGAAAAAATAAACAGGAAGAAATCAATAAAACCATTAAAGAAAGCCAAGAAAATAAAGAAATAAACCAATCAAACAAGTCCAAGACTTGAAAATTGAAATGGAGTTAATAAAGAAAACACAAATGGTAGGAATTCTGGAAATGGAAAATCTCAACAAACAAACAGAATTACAAATGCAAGCATAACCAACACAATTTGAGAGAGGGAAGAAAGACTCTCAGGAATTAAATACATGAGGAAATAGAACTGTTGACCAAAGAAAACATTAAAGCAAACAAAGTCATAACACAAAATGTCCAGGAAATCTGGGACACCATAAAAAGACCAAACCTAAGAATAATAGGGATAGAAGAAGGAGAAAAATACCAGCTCAATGGCACAGAAAATATCTTCAACAAAATCATAGAAGAAAACTTTCCCAACCTTAAGAAGGAAATGCCTATGAAGATACAAGAAGCTTACAGAACACCAAATACATTGGACCAAAAAAAGTCCCCTCACCACATATTAATTGAAACACAAAATATCCAGAATAAAGAAAGAATACGAAGAGCTGTGAAGGAAAAAGGTCAAGTAACATAGAAAGGCAGATCCATCAGAATAACACCTGACTTCTCAACGGAGACTCTCAAAACCAGAAGGTCCTCGATAGACATTATGCAGACTCTAAGAGACCATGAATACCAACCCAGACTGCTATATCCAGCAAAACTTTCAATATCCATAGATGTAGAAAACAAGATATTACATGACAGAACCAGATTTAAACAATACCTATCTACAAACCCAGTCCTACAGTGGGCACTAGAAGGAAAACTCCAACCCAAGGAAGTTAAGAAAGTTAGAAGTACCCATGAAAGTATAGGCAATAGATAATCCCACACCAGCAAATCCTAGAAAAAGGAAACACACACATACCATCACCAAAAAATAAGGGGAATCAAAAATCACTGGTCATTGATAGCCCTTAATATCAATGGACTCAAATTGTCTATAAAAAGAAACAGGTAAGCAGAATGTATTCAAAAGCAGGATCCACCCTTCTGCTGCATGAAAGAAACGCAACTTAACGTCAAAGATAGACATTTCTTCAGAGCAAAGGGTTAGGAAAAGACTTTCCAATCAAATGGACCTAAGAAGCAAGCTGGTGTAGCTATCCTAATATCTAACAAAATAGACTTCAAACTGAAGGTAACCAAAAGATATAATGGAAAAGATTTCATATTCATCTCAGGAAAAATCCATCAAGAAGAACTCTCAATCCTGAACATATATGCCCCAAATTCAAGTGCACCCACATTTGTAAAAGAAACGTTACCAAACCTTCAATCACACATCAAACTCCACACACTAATAATGGGAGAGTTCAATACCCCACTCTCACCAATAAACATGTCAGTCAGAGAGAAAATAACAGAGAAATAAAGGTTCTAACATGTTATAATTCAAATGGGCTTACCAGATATCTATAGAATGTTTCACCCAAACATAAAATAATATACCTTCTTCTCAGCAGCCCATAGAGCCGTCTCTAAAATTGACCACATACTCAGTTACAAAGCAAATCTCAACAGATACAAAAAGTTGGAATAACCCCCTGCATCTTATCAGATCACAACGGCTTAAAGTTAGAATTCAACAACAACCCAAATTCTAGAAAGCCTACAAACTCATATAAATTGAATAATGCCCGGGTCAAGGAAGAAATAAAGACTTGCTAAATTCAATGAAAATGAAAGTTCAACATATCCAAACATATGGAACACTATGAAAGCAGTGATAAGAAGAAAGTTCATAGCACTAAACACCTACATAAAGAATGTAGAAAATCCCTTATTAGCAAATTAACAAAACACCTGAAAACTCTAGAATGAAAAGAAGCAAACTCACCCAGGAGGAGTAGATGACAGGAAATAATTTAACTGAGAGATGAAATCAATAAAATATAAACAAAGAACAATAGAATTGATAAAACAAATAATTGGTTCTTTGAGAAAATCAACAAGATAGACAAACCCTTATCCAAACTAACCAAAAGGCAGAGAGAGACTATCCAAATTAGCCAAATCAGAAATGAAAAGGGGGATATAATAACAGGCACTGAGGAAATCCTGAGAATCATCAGATCATACTTCATTAACCCACACCACACAAAATTGGAAATTTTAAGAAACAGACAGTTTTCTGTATAGGTTCTACATACCAAAATTTAATCAAGACCAAATAAACAATTTAAATAGACCTATAGTCCCCAAAGGAAATAGAAACAGTTATTAAAAGTCTCCCAACCAAAAAAAGTAGCCCAGTACCAGATGGCTTCAGCACAGAATTCTATCAGAATTTCAAAGAAGAGCTAGCTAACTCAAATACTTCTCAAATTGTTCCACACAATAGAAACAGAAGAAACATTGCCAAAGTCATTTTAAGTGGCTACAGTAACCCTAATACACAAACCACACAAAGATATAACAAAAAAGAGAACTATAGACCAATCTCCCTTATGAAAGTTGATGAAAAATACTCAATAAAGCTGGGTGGTGGTGATGCACACCTTTAATCCCTGCATTTGGAAGGCAGATGTGGATCTCTATGAGTTTAAGACCAGCCTGGTCTACAAGAGCTAGTTCCAGGACAGCCACAGAGAAATCCTACCTTGAAAAAACAAAAACAAAAAAAAACCGAAACAAAACAAAACCCTCAACAAATACTGTCAAACTAAATCTAAGGACACAGTATAAAAATCATTCACCATGATCAAATAGGCAGGGTTGTTTCAACACATGGAAATCTGTCAATGTAATCCACCATATAAACAAACAGAAAGAAAAAAATGATCAATTCATTAGACGATGAAAAAGCCTTTGACAAAATCCAACACCCCCGCATGATAAAGGTGTTGGAGAGATCAGAGATAACAGGAACATACTTAGACATAATAAAGGTAATATGCAGCAAGCCAATTACTTCAAAACGAATGGAGAGAAACTCAAAGCGATTCCACTAATCAGGAGCATGACAAGGCTATCCAATCTCTCCTTATCTAGTACTCAAAGTTCTAGCTAGAGCAGTAAGACAACAAAAGGAGATCAAGGGGATACAAATTGGAAAGGAAGAAGTCAAACTTTTACTACTCCAGATGATATGAGAGTATACATAAATGACCCAAAAACTCTACCTAGGAACCCCTACAGCTGATAAGCATCTTTAGTAATGTGGCAGCATACAAGATCAATTAAAAATCAGTCACTCTCCAATGGTAAAGGGTCTGAGAAAGAAATCAGAGAAACATTACCCTTTACAATAGGCACAAATATAACTCTATATTGGGATAACTCTAACCACTCACATGAAAGATCTGTATGACAAGAACTTTAAGTCCTTGAAGAAAGAAACTGAAGAGGATATAAAAAAATAGAAAAATGTCTCATGCTCTTCTATAGGATCAGCATAATAAAAATTGCAATCCTACCAAAAGCAATCTATAGATTTAATGCAATTCCTATCAAATCACAACACAATTCTTCACAGATCTTGAAAGAACAATACCCAAGTTCATGTGGAAAAAGCAAAACAAAACCAAACCAGAGTAGATAAAACAATCCTGTACAATAAAGGAACTTCAGGATTTGTCACCATTCCTGACTTCAACCTCTAGTATAGAGGTAGAGTAATAAAAAAGCTTGATATTGGCATAAAAACAGACAGGTGGATCAATGGAATGGAATCAAGGACCCTGATATCAATCCATACTCCTAAGAACACCTGATGTTTGACATAGAAGCCAAAATGGTACAGGGGAAAACATCTTTAACAAATGTTCCTGGCTTAACTGGATGTCAACATGTAGAAGACTGCAGATAGATCTATGCCTATCGCCATGCACAAAACTGAAATCCAAGTGCATCAAGGGCCTCAACATAAATCCAGCTACATTGAGCCTGATAGCAGAGAAAGTGGGAGTAGCCTGGAACGCTTTGGCACAGGACACCACTTTTTAAATATAACATCAGTAGCACAGACACTGAAAGCAACAACCAATAAATGGGACCTCCTGAAAATGACAAGTTTCTGTGAGGCAGAGGACACTGTCAATAAGAAAAAACTTCAGCCTACAGAATGGAAAAAGATTTTTATCAATCTCACTTTTGACAGAGGACTGATATCCAAAATATATAAAGAACTCAAGAAACTAGACATCAAAAGAACAAATAATCCACTTGAAAATTGGGTGCAGATATAAACTGAGAATTCTCAACAGAAGAATCTCAAATGGCCAAAGACATTTTAGAAAGTGCTCAACATCCTTAATCATCAGGAAAATGCAAATCAAAATGACTCTGATATACCATCTTACACCTATCATAATGGCTAAGATAAAAAGTACTGAGGACAGTTATGTTGGAGAGGATATGGAGTCAGGGGAACAATCTATTTTATCAGCCTATGTTGACTCCTCATGGGAGCCCTTACCCATGATGAGGAGTGGACTGAGGATGGGATGGGGGACAGAGGAGAGGGGATTGGGAGGAGCAGAGGGAGGCAGAAGGAGGGATGGGAGAGAGAACTGTGGTTGGAATGTAAAATGAAATTAAAAAAATAAAAAATAGAAAAAAGAATATCTTAAATATATCATATTATATATTGACAAAAGGGATAGTACATTGAGAGATATAACTATTATAGATGTATGTGCACCATATATTGTTGTGGTTAAGTTTTTAAAGTGGTATATATTCAAGGCATCTAGATCAAAATTTCATAATTTGACAGTTTCATAATCACATGCTTCATATTACCCTTCCATTCCTCATCTCTCACCATTCCTTTCAATAGTCTTAGTCCTTCCTCCATTCTCCCTTCTGCTTTTATTTGGGTGTGTGTATATCTACAAATGACAGCAAACTTGTAATATTTGTCCTTCTGAATCTGTCTTATTTCATTTTATGTAGTTGCTAGTTGCCCATGGTTTTCTGCAAATGATGCAAGTTCAATTGTTTTTTATGACTGAATAAAATTACATACCACTTTGCTTACTGATTTATGTGTCTACAACTTGGTTATTACAATAAGTGATGAAATAAACAAATGTGTAAACACTTATAGAGCCCTTTGTTGTATATGTAGAACTGATCCATCTCTCTAGCCACTTACTAGAAGTTTTAAAACCTCAACCACTATTTTCATAGTGGTTGAAACAGTTTACATTCCACCGGCTCTGTTAAGTATGCATTTTTCTTCACATTAGGATTTTTGGGCGGCTGTATATACTAGATATGTTTGCAATATTTGACCTCAAATTATCCTATAGAATTTTAGTGACAAAATAGCTTTTTAAAATTTTTATTAATAATATTCCATTGTGTAAATGCATTACATATTCAGTATCCACTTATCATTTGATAGAAATATAGATTATTTCCTTTTCCTAGTTACTATGGATGAAACAGCAGTGAATAGGGGAAAGAAAGTAATCACTTACCATTTGATAGAAATATAGTTATTTCCTTTTCCTAGTTATTATGGATAAAACAGCAATGAATATGGGAAAGAAAGTATCTCTTTAGTAAGATGTAGATCTTTGGGGTATATGCCCATGAGTGGATTATAAGGTAGATCTAGTTTTAGCTTTCTGAGGAATCTCAACACTGATTTCAAAAGTGGATTTTCCAGTTGCACTCCTACAACCAGTATTTAAGCATCTCCCTTCCCCATATCAGTGCTAGCATTTGTCATTTTTCCTTTTTTAAACTTTAGTCATTCTGACTGGGATCTCAATGAAGTTTTAATTTACATTTACCTGATGGCTATGGCTGTTGAAGGTTTTCTGAAGTGTTCTCAGCCATTTATATTCTTTACAATGAATACTGTTATTAAACATTTTAAGAAATGAGTAACAAATTAGCCAAACATTAAGAATATCAAACCACTTTACTCTAGGAGAAAACAAAAGAAAACAGGCTCTCAGTCAGTAAAATCTCCAGTGTTAGAAAAATGGTGAAAGAAATGAATCTAGCAAAAGGAATCAATCAGACAACAAATAAGATGATAAATAAAATGAACAGAAAGTATTGGCCTGAAACAAAATGAAAAAAAGCACAAGTTTTGTTTTAAGTCTCAATTATATAAAACTTATCTAAAGAATGAATACACGAATTTTACCTGGTAGAACAATTCCTGTGCTTTCCTCTTGGCCTGTTAAAGGGTTCCAAAGGCAGCAAGTGATGTTCCTGAGGGAGCTGTCTCTAAGGAGAAGTGTCATCTTCATATCAAACAATTTGTCTCCATCCTGTGAATAGGATTTTGATGTAGCTGGAATGATCTCTCCTCTACTATCTCTCCATTCCGAGTGAGGCTGTGGGAACCAACCTCGGGAGTGACATTCCACTATCACTCCTTTGGTAGTAGGAGGATGAGCAAGAATCTGAACCCAGGAGCTCCCAGCTGGTTATAAACAAAGGAGAATCAGTAGTGTATAATGAATGGAAAGAGAAAAAGAACAAAAAAAGAAAACCAATTCTTCTCCATATTAACTCCAGTGTCTGCAGATATCAGGATAGTCAAAACTCTACAGGGCTCTAATTGACATAATAAATCAATTGAAAAAAGATGGCACCAGATGGAAACATGGAGAGGCCATAATACACAATTATCAATTATTGTTCTAATAAGCAGACTTATTGTTTTAAATAAATCTGGTGATGAAAGGTCTCCTTGTTTAATTTGTTTTTTCTTTCAGTAAAATATTTTCTATTTAATAAAACAAGTGAGTTAAGACTTTAGATTACAAAAATAATCAGCCAATTATCCAGGACATTTTTCTTACATAGAAATCACTGAATTAAGTCAGAAACTGTTTTGGAAGAATCGATGCTTACCTATGACCTTGACTTCTGTGATGTGCTCTTCATAGAATTTTCCATCTTTGAAGATGCAGTGGTACCGCCCATCATCATCAGGATTGACATTAAAGATTCTGAGGGTCACTTTCCCTTCTTTAATGGCATCTTTCAGGAGCTCTGTTCTCTCCACATACTTGGGAATAATTTTTCCAAATAAGTCTTTTCCATCATCGTATAGATGAATAGGCTGTGTATAGTGTGTCCTGAACCAGCGGATCTCCATGTGCTGAGCATTTTGTGGTGGAGACAACTGACAACTGAGCTCAAGTACTGTACCAAATGGAGCTAAGACTGGCCCCTCTAATACACTCACTCCAGTCACTGTGAATCGTTCTGGGAAGAGAAACAAGAAACCAAAATGTGAAAGCTTTAATCAAGGAAATCTTCTAAGTCACCACTTACTCAAAACACATGAACACATTTTTGCTGTGGTCACCCTTCTCCAGCATATCTGAAAAAAATCGTAACTTTTCACATAATCAGTGGTGGCTCATCGAACTATTCCTCTTATGAAATGTATATAATTTCCACTCCTGCTAAATGACTTCTAAAATAATTGCTATCAGTTCAGTAGTTGACTCTTCTTTTATTCCATTTGATTCTTTCTCTGAGCGATTCTAAGATTTATAATTCCGTAATTGTAGTGTATATGTTTGTTTTTATGCTTAAGCTTCACAAATATTAACTTTCTTTGACTTTGAAAAATTATTATCCATTGCATGTTTAAATTTGCTTTTAAGAACTTACTGCTGCCTTTTTCCTAAACTAATATAATTTCTAAGTGCATTCTAAGGCATTTCATCATATCTACATATAAATGTAGCTCTCTCCTATTATAAAAAAACTTCTTTACGTGGCAAGTCTGATTGAGTCATCTCTGTTTCATTTTGAGAGAGAGAGACAGAGAGACAGAGAGAAAGACAGACAGACGAGAGAGAGAGAGAGAGAGAGAGAGAGAGAGAGAGAGAGAGAGGAACCAGAGATTGATGCAGGTAGGTAAGGAATGTATGGGTATTTGGGAGGAGTTGGGGGAGGGGAAATAACATGATCAAATATATTGCATGAAAAAAATCAAAACTTATTTTTGAAGCATTTTGGAAACTACTACAGAAATTCTCAGTTTGTCAAAATGAAGAGAACCACTAACTGTGGGGTACACAGCCCCAATTAATGCATCTACAAAATAATACCTACATTCATGGCTTAAGGAACATTACAGAATATGGTAGTATAACTGTAGAAGCTATAGGATCAAAGATGATGTTTTCCATTTGAGAGGGTAGATGCACACATGAAACCTCAACAATATGGTCACTTAAACAGGACCTGCATATTTACATCGTTGGTCGAAATGCTGATGTAGAAAGGTGAAATCTCACTAGATTTCATTCACCCTTAGATGAAGAGCTACAAGCAATTAATGGTGGCAGAGAAACCAAAGAATCAGTCTTCTCCATGAATTAGCCCCCTCATAGGTTATTCACTCCCAAGTGGTCAGTCTTAAATACCCATACATATGAGCAACACTAAATAGACTCAGTAGTGTGTGTGTGTGTGTGTGTGTGTGTGTGTGTGTGTGTGATACAGAGTATGTTGTGGGTTTGAGAAGGATTGGGGGCATGGGAGGAGCTGGATAGGGAGAAAGAATGGTAGAAACGATGTAAATATAGTGTATATATACATAGGAAAAATTAAGTTAAAAACGTTTGTTTCCTTTATTCTCTGTTTGTTTTTATTATGAAATTCATTATTTTTAGTTTTACCAAATGTCCTCATGTTAAGATAAGTTTTTGTTTTGTTTTGTTTTTTGGATATAACTAGACCACAGTAGATGATCATATAGCATCTAGAGTCAAAAATTTCAAAGGCAATTCTAGATTTTCCTACAGTTGACCAATAATACTTGGCTTAACAACTATTTGAATTTACAGAAATCTTAACGGGAAGAAAAAAAGAAATGTTTTCAAAGGTGCACTGGCAATTTTTAACCACATGTTAAAATCACAAATCAATGCGTTGATATGAAGTGATTGATTCCTGCCCTTAAAATTGAAAGCACGTGCACAACACAGCACATCTATGAACTTCTTAGAGAAATTTCTACTTTAACACCACAGCTAACTTTAAAATTTCTCTACAAGATCTTAAAATTTATTGTATATATTCAGTGAATGTTCATATAATCTCAAATTATTCTCTAAAAAGAGATCTCAATAGGACACAAATACATAGAGACATTTGGCTTGTGACAAGGATGACTTCTGAAGTCTGTGGAGAAAACACGATTCTTTATGGCTTAAACTTTCACACACATAAACTCGCGGCAGCTGTAACTGCATGCACAAGCTTAAGTTCACCCAAATCCCAGGATGAATGGAGGAGGGTCTCATAAAGCCCCACCCTTAGCTGAGAAGCTATTGGCATCTAATGGCTGGTGAATTGCAGGAGGAAAACTAAGTTTTTTCCTCTTGGATACAGCTTCTCAAAACCATCTGATGGGGGATGTCATTCTGTATGCTGTGAATATATGTTTCTCTTATTAGTTGATGAATAAAGTTGTTTTTGCCAACGGACAGATATGATGTAGCCAGGCAGGAAGTACAGACAGGGTTACCAGATTATGAGAATGTTGGAAGAGGAACATAGGGAGTGAGTTGTGAGTGAGACACCATGTAGTTGCTGAGGAAGCAGGAGGCACGGTATCACTGGTATGCCAAGACTACATGGAGATACACAGGTTAATAGAAATAGGTTAATAATTAAGAGAGCGCTAGCCAGTAGGAAGCCTGAGCCATTGGCCAAAGAATTTATAATAAATATAAGCCTGTGTGCGTTTATTTGGAACTAAAAGGATGTGGGACTGGGTGGAACAGAAATTTCCATTTAGTTCCAAATAAACTTAAACAGGTGAGGAAGAACAGAGACACATCTTCACTGTGTACAAAAAGATTATTCCAACACAGCCTATACATACAGGCATCACTGTGCAGACTCAGTGGGTTTACAAACAAGAGAGCACATGAGGATGGGATGGAAAAGTAGTGGGGAGCATAGGGAAAAACTGGAAGGGAGGGAATTGGGTACAGTTTTGAACAAATAACATTATATGCAACCATGGACTTGTGAAACAATAAAACAGAACAATGAAAACAATATTCTGCATGGGTTCATTTGAAAATAGAAAATGTAGGTTATCATTTGCAGCCTGGTCCAGACAACTCTTCTGTAAAAAGCACAGCATGTAGATCTCATATCAGAAATAAATCAAGATGATGAAATGCTCATTTTGTAAAAGCACTTACTACTAACCCTGAGAATCTGAGTTCAGTCCCTGGGACCCACATTGTAGACAGAGTCAATAGATGACTGCAACTCATTCTCTGATACCCACTTTCACTCTGCAGTGTTGCATATGCACACGGCATAAATACAAATGCAATAAAAATTAGAATCAACTGCCACACAGCATAACATAAATAACTGAATATTTGTTATTCAGAAAATAAATTACAACAGCTTGACCATTAGTCTACTCAATGAAAAATTTACTGTAAAATTAAATATGTTTTATATTTAATTAATTAAAACGCTTTTGTTTACAGAAGGAAAAGATAAGCTATAGACAGAAAAATAGTTACAAAACGTGTATTAATAAAAGACTTACACTTGGAACATAGAAGTTCTCCTTTCTATATATAAATTTCTTTCTTATATATAAACTCTGAAATATATTTTATTAGAGAATTACAAAGGTAATGAGATATTATCATAAGCCTATTATAAGAGTAATTGTCGACATGATAAGTGTTAGCTCTTGAATCCCAGACTAATGCCTGGGAATCCAGCATGGGACTGATCAAGACCCTCTGAATGTGGGTGCCAGTGAGGAGGCCTAGGTTATCTATTGAGCCTTGGGTAGTAGATCAGTATTTATCCCAGATATACAAATGGACTTTGGGTTCCCATCCAACAATGAGATATGCACTCTCACCCTGGACTCTTGAGGGAGGGTCTAGGCTCTACCCTGGATGGAATGACAGACTATGGATACCCCCATGGACGGCCTCCCTGGGGAAATGAGGGGATATTGGGGGCCTTGGTGGGAGGGCTCAGGAGGAGGGGAGGGAAATGCAGAAGGACCTGGAATTGACATATGAAGCAACCTTGTTTCTAATTTAAATTTAATTTTAAAAATAAAATATAAAAAAAGAAAAAAGAGTAGCTGAAATACAAAATGCTAACAACATCAAATGTTGGTTAGCATAGAACTACAGGCATCTGTAGTTTATCATTGATGGGAATGCAGCATGATCAAACTATGGAGGAGACTTTATCTTCTCTCTCTCTCTCTCTCTCTCTCTCTCTCTCTCTCTTACCAAATTAACCATAGTCTCATCATAGTACTGAGCCTTCATATTTCATATGCCTAGATATGACACAAAAGACTTAAACATAGGTCCATGCAAAATCCTGCACCCAAATGTTTATAGCATAACTACTCATAATTATTCACAACTGGATGCAACTGAATGTTCTTCAACAGGTGACTGAGTAAACTAAATGTCGTACATTTATACAATGGACTATTGTCTATTAGTAAAGCTTTATGGTTTCTAGTGTATGGCCTTCTAGATAAAGCAAAAGTATGGGTATTAATGATAGTTGATGGATTTCTTAAGAGGAGAGAAAAAATGGAGGAGTAGGTAGATCATTTGACATTACAATAGTGGTAAAATTCTATATGACATCAGGTGAATCCATGAGGCTCTGAGTTTAAGGATTTCAGGCTCTGATAGCTGGAACAAGCTAAAATCACCAGGTGGCAGTAGCACACAACAGCCATCTATTTGAGTAATTATTTCAGGATTGCGAAGTAGGAAGCCACAGAGGAAGACTTTGCAGAGGCACAGAAGACCATCATCCTAGAACAGATTGGTGGACAAGGAACTCCCCAGATTGGCAGCACTGTTATATATTTAAGTGGAACCACTCCATAACAAATTAGGGAGTATCAGGGCCATAGAATTGCAAAAGGGCATCAGCAGCTCAGTTTAAAAATCATTATGCCCTAGTTTAATTTTTGTATTTTATATTGGTATTTATTGTATGTAGGTGGTGGCATGCAGTATTTGACTTTCTTTGTTTGAATGAATTTGTTTAAAATGCTTTAATCTGTATTAATGTATTGAATCCATTTCCCTTCAAATGAAATTTTGTTCTATTATATGGTTGAGTATTATTTTCATGTATTTTTCTATTGATGGCCACAAAGGTTAACTCTATAGCTACTGTGGATTGTGGTGCAATAAACATGGATGCACGAATAACAGTGTGGTACATTGGCTTAGAATCCCTCATGCAAATATCCACGGGTGGAATGGCTGCATAATATGGTTGATGAACGTCAGCTTTTTGTTTTGTTTTTCTCCCTTTGGATCCTACATATTGATATCAGTGGTGTCTAAACTAATTTAGATTGTGATCAGTACTGTGAAACACACTTTCTAAACACTTTTCCCAGCATTCATCTGTTTTCTTAACTATTGTAATTCTAACCATGGTAGTTAAACTCATAATATGATCTAGTTTGATTTTCTCTGATAATCATGTTGAACTTTTTTTCATATGTTTATTGGTATTTCTCTTTAGTTTTAAAACTCTCGCCTAGGTAATCTATTAAGCCTTGGGCAGCAGATCAGTACCCATACCGAGTATACACAGGGACTTTGGACTCCCATCCAACAATGTGAGGTGCACTCTCACCCTGAACTCTTGGGGAAGGGTCTAGGCCCTGCCCTATATAAAATGACAGACTATGGACACCCCCATGGAGGGCCTCACCCTCCCTGGGGAAATGAGGGGATAATGGGGGGGTTGGCGGAGTGCACGGGAGGAGGGGAGGGAAAGGGAGAGGGCCCTGGAACTGACTTGTGAAGCAACCTTGTTTCTTATCTAAATTTAAACTGAAAAATAAAAAAAATAAATAAAAAATAAAAAATAAATGAAAATGCTAAAAAACCTCTCTAATTAGACTGTTTAGTGATTGGATTGTTGGGTTTCTTGGTATTTAGTTTTTTGAGATCTTTATATAGTCTCTATGTGTCAGATGTAGAGTTAACAAATGTTTTTCTATTATACTGTAGGACACTCACTCAATTAGCTGTTTTATTTCCTGTATAGAGACAGTTAATTTCATGCAATCCTATTTGTCTGCTTTTTTTGGCATTATTTACTGAATGTTTGGAGTTCTATTTAGAAAGTTCTTGCCCATATTTTTATTTCAAAATGTTTTCCCATATTCTACCCTCTGTTTCAGAGCTTTAGATCTCTGTTTGAAACTGGTTTTGTGCATGACCTGAGATGGGTTATAGTTTTAATATTCTATACATGTATATTGGTTTTCTCAGCAACATTCATGAAAAAGCTTTTTTTCTCCATCTTTGTAAAAAGTCACTTGTCTTTAGTTGTGAGAATTTATCTCTATATTCTATTATGTTGATACATATGCCAGCTTTTACATTGTATTCACAACCATGAAGCAGAGAGGAATGAGTGATTGTGCTCAGCTCACTTTCTCCTTTTCAAACAGTCCAAGATCTCATTCTAGGGAATTGATCCACTCACAGTAGAATGATCTTCCTACCCCAGTTCATCTACTCAATGTAATACTCTTATGGGTGTGCCCAGAGGCTTGTCTCTAAAGTAATTCTAGATTTCATCAAGTTGGCAACAGAGCCTGTAACACTTTCTTCCTTTCTTTACAAACTGGATATTGATAAGGTTCATGAGGGGAAGTGAGAGATTCATACCTGCCCTCAGTGTTTCTATTTGAAGGAGATACATGACAACAGCACAGAATCTGTAAACAAGTAGTTTTTCATCACTCATCACACCTGCAAAAAGAAAGCAAATTCATACCCAGTTAAAATGTAAGAAGTTGCAGAAATCAGATAAATCTACATTTGTCAAAAGCAGCTGTCTTCCAGTTGCAGTTTCCATCATCTTTTAATCCTAGGCAAACAGCAAATACATTTTAGGGGAAGCAGTTACTTTGTGTTATTTAGCATTCTGAAATTTTATTAGCAAATCTGGCTTTCATGCCAAGAGTGTTCAATATATATGGCTATGTCTTCCCAGAAATTTATTTATTTTTACAGGAGTGTCTTCTCCAAGGCTTGATTTGATATTATTTTCTGTTTTATGTGAATTAAATCAAGATGTTTTCTTCTCCAAAGTTGATAGATATGCAGAATAGTTCCAGAATTCCAAAGCCTCCATTAGTGGAATCATTTGATACAGTTATACAGAGAAAAAAATTAAAGACAGATTTGTCTTCATGATACTGTTGAAACTAAAATAAAGAGGAAATAACTTTTTCTATATTTTAAGAACTCCACTGAATTTTCTGTTTATTGAGACATAGTCTTAGCTAAGGTTTCTATTGCTGTGAAGAGACACCATGGCCACAGAGACTTTTATGAAGTAAGACATTTAACTAGGCCTGGCTTGCAGTTTCAGAGATTTAGTCCATTATCATCACACCAGGAAACATGGTGGCATGCAGGCAGGCATGGTTCAGGAGAAGGATCTGAGAGTTCTACATCTTGATTGAGAGGCAGCAGAAGTGAATGCTACACTAGGCCTAGCTTGAGCATCTCAGACCTCAAAGGCCATCCTGACAGTAAAACACTTTCTCTAGCAAGGCCACACTGATTATCCAGTAGCCAGGCATGAAGTATAGGAGGAGCTACCAGACTAAGAGAATTCTGGGAAAAGGGAGGCAGAGAGGAGCCATGAGGCAGATGCCATGTAGCTACCAGGAAGATAGGACCCCCACATTCTCCAGTAAGCTGAGACCACATGGAAATACTTAGATTAATAGAAATGGATTAATAATTAAGAAAGAGCCAGTCATTAGGAATCCCGAGCCTTCAGCCAAACAGTTTATAATTAATATAAGCCTCCGTGTGTTTATTTGGGACCAAAGGGCTGCAGGACCTGGCTGGAAAGAAACTCCATCTACAATGGCATTATTAAGAGGTGTGGCTTTGTTGGAGTAGGTATAGCCTTATTGGAGTAAGTGTGTCACTGTGCAGGCAGGCTTTGAAGTCTCATATATGCTTTGTATTACTTTTTATTCTTGTAAATTTTATAATATTTTCTGTTTTAACATTTCAAAATTTCTTCAGCAAAAATAAGCACAATAAACACCTTGTGGCTTCCAGGGAGATATTTTATCTTATTTCAGTAATATTTATTTTTATATTTTATGTATGTGTCCGTGTGTTGGTATGCACATGTGCATGTGTGTATCTGTGGAGGTTGGAAAAGTGTCATAGGCCCAGACACTAGCGTTACAAGGTGTTGTGAACAATCAGGTGGGTGTGCGGAAGCAAGTTTCTGTCCTATGTGATATAATCAAGCAATAGTAACTGTTGAGTCATCTCTCCAGCATGGCAATTTAAAGTGCAATGCTCAAATCAGGGTAGTAGCAGTTACATTTCGTTAAATATTGATGGATACCTTCAAATTTTGCTCATTCAGTTATTTGTAAAACGTAATAAACCACTGTAAAGAGTGCTCACACAAATAGAGCTTATTGCTCCTAAATAATTATTTTTGATACCTATAATTAAGCCTCTCTCTGACTTCCCATGCCACTTTCTCTTTTCAGCTTTTAGCAACAACTGTTTTACTTTCTCCTATAAAATCAACTTTAAAACTTTCATGGATGAGTAATAATATTCAGACTTTTTCTTAATTTTATGGTCTATTTAGGAAAGAAAGAAGTCAGTCATATATTTTTTAAAAATTACAAACATCTCACAACAGTGCATTTCTCTTTCATTCTCTGCTTCTCTTAGTATATACTAGTTGCAAAGAAAATTATGGGGATGAAACCAATCTTAATGACTGTGTGACTGAGAAACTAGCAGAAGAATAAACATATATTTTCTCACTATTTAACCTTACATTCCAGAAATGGAGCCAGCATTTGCCAAGTCTCTATGCAGCAGAAGAAATATATAAGTAAAACAGAAGAAAAAAATTTCCCAGAGGTTACTAAGATCTCATCCTTCTGAACTTCCACATCTCAGTAGCCTCCAAGCACAGGTCTGCAGGCTCCCCAGAAATGCAAAGACAGAATTTTCTCAGAGGCATAAGCAATAGAAAATGATAGAAGAGACCTTTTGTGAATAGACTACTAGTTACATAATCTTACTAAATTCTGATACTTACTTGAGTTTGATGGTTGCAAGTCAGCTCTCCACTGTTCCAATAGACAATCTCAGTTGGCTCACCCAGATTTCTGATAATTGTCAGTCGTTTTTCTGTATCGAGGGAAAGACGATCTAGAGTCAGATAGAGGCCAGGTAAATCTGATCCTCAAGTCTCTTCTATTCTCAAATTCTGGCTCTGTGATTTTGCCCACTTCACAGTTTGTTCCTTTTTTTGACAGAGAAATTCCTAGTGGACTAATTGCATCAACAGACAAGTGAAACCTTTGTTCAGCTTGTAACTCATATTGCTTAAGTACTAACAAGGCTTCTGTCACCCATGGAAGTAGCAAAACAAATTCTGACTCATACCTGTCATGCATGAGTACTGCCCATAAAATATATGATTAATTTATTTGGCATGGCAGAAGAGTCAATTTATGAAAGTATAAGCAAAAGATTCAATTCACCTTTCAGAGAGGAGACAATTGCTAGCAAGATGCTTGAAACAAAATAACCAACTATCCCATATATAATTATGAATATAAACTTAATATGTGTGTTAATGACATATGCATATGTATATACTTTTTATATAAACAATATAGTATTTTACATAATATGCAGGTATTAGTTACTATTCAGCTTGATGTGACTAAACACCTAATAAAAACCAACTTGAAGGAGTTATTTATTTTGGCTTACAGTTCCAAAGAAAGTACATCATGGCATAGAGGCATACTGCTGGTCACATTGCGATCAAGGTAATTACAGTTTGATGAATGCTGGTACTCAGTTTGTTTTCTCCTTTTTAATATTTTAAAAATATTTTTAAAATAATGTTTTTACTTAGTCTTTGAGAACTGCATACATTACATTTTGATCATATTCATTCTCCTCCCTCAGCACCTCCCAGATACCCTCATATCTCCTTACCTCCCCACCCAACTTCATGGTCTTTTGTTCAAAAAAGGAGAAGAAAAGCAAAAACGGAGTCCAGTTTGGGTTGACTGACTAAGCCTTGGTTTAAGGCCTGACCTGGACTGTGGTTGATATGTCTTGTGTTATTCCACTGAAGAAAACTGACTTTCCCTCTCCCTGTAGCTCTCAATTGCTAATATATTTTGGGGGTTGGGTGGAACTTCATGTACACTCTTTTATTTTGGAATTTTATCTGCTATGAGCTTATTCAGTATTTCCACATAATATTAAAAATTCCATGACTTCGTATAAACTTCTGCCCTGCTGTGCCTTGAAGACTCTGGTTCCTTGAAGTTACCCATCACCTCTGTCTCTTACAGTCTTCCTGTCTCCTCTTCTGCATAAATCCCTGAGCTATGTGGAGTGGGGGAATGAAAGATATCTCTTTAGAGCTGAATATTCCCACGTTGCTTATTCTTTGCATGTCATCCAGTTTTGTTTTCTGTGTTAATTACTATATATTGTAAGAAGAAGTTACTCTGATGAGGACTAATCTCTGTACTGATCTATATGCCATAAGGAGTCATTTTATTGCTATGTTCATCTAGAAGGATAATAATAGTAGGTTTTACTGTAAGGTTCACAGTCTATCTATTTTTCGATTTATGGCCACTCTGATAGTTCATGTTACATTTCTTCAAATTGACTTTAAATCCATAAAAATGGTTGATTATTCCCATTATATTCATAACTTGCAGCCAAGTCATTGTCTGAGTCACTGTTCTACTGCTGTGAAGAAACACCATGATCAAGGCAACCCTTATAAGAAAGCATTTAAATGGGGGGCTTGCCTACAATATCAAAGAATTAGTCCATTGTCATCATGATGTGGAACATGGTAGAAGGAATGGCAGTCATGGTGCTGGCGAAGTAGGTTAGAGCACCATCTTCATTTTCAGACAGAGAAGAGACACTGGGATTGGCATGGGCTTTTGGAAACACAAAGCCTAATCTCTGGATACACTTCTTCCAACAAGACCATACCTCCTAATCTCTAATGCTTTCAACAGTTCCATTTTCTGGTGACCAAGCACTCAAATGTATGAGCCTATACATTCTTACTCAATTCACCACAGTTGTTATAGTTCACATGGTTCATAGCTGGATGAGATTTATGATTATGCTTCTCTTCTGATAGTATGTAAAGCACCTTCCAGACCTATGAATGCTAGCCAGTACGGATGAAACGTCTAGTTGAATATCAGTTAGATTTCTCCAGATTTTATGACACAAATATTTGATGTCTTCAGCAATAGGGATCTTAGTGTCAAACTCTAGAGGATAAACAATAGCATTAGCTATAGCCTGTAATGTTGAGAGGTTGATGGGACCTTATTGATCAACTATTGAAAGATATAAGGTATTCCTGGCATTGGAAGCTTTATTTGGTGGCATAAGATGTCTAGTTGGGGAATTCTCTCCCAATTATATGATAACTCCATTTAAATTCCTTTCATATATACATATATCTTAGGAAGTTTATATGTTAGTGGGTTTCTATATGTTTTTTCAAAAGTACTTTAGTGTTTCTCCTCCTTTACCCCCTTCTCTCCAAACCCCTTCTCCATTTAGTCCTCTCATTTTAGTTTTTCCTTTATCTTTTTCTCTTCATTGGGCATCCTATCCTTCCCTGGCCTCTTATTCTGTGGTTATTTAGGTTGTAGCACTCATGTTGAAAACTTAAGAACTAACATCCACATATAAGAGAGTACATAGGATAGTTGTTATTTTGGGTCTGTATTACCTCATTCAGGATGAATTTTTCTATTTTCATTCATTATCCAAAGGGTCTCATGGAACCACTCAATATTAAACATTATATGGTATTACAAAGCCTATTTGGTTGCCCTCCACAACATGATGGTAAGTCTCTGTTGTTAAAGACTCTGTTTACTTATCTAATTGAACTTGGTGGTATCAAGGTTGTACTCAGCTAAATACTTTATCATTACTGACTAGTGTACATAGTGCTATAAGGTACGTGCCATGCTACTGGAGGATAAATAATTCTGTTTTCATTTTCATTCAGTTCTAGAAAGCTTTTTTACTTCTTGATTTCTGCCTTTACTCATTTTCATTCAGTGGTTGTGTTGTTTAGTTTCTGTGAGTTTGTATACTATCTGCCATTTCTATTTCTATTGTTGCTAATATTCATGTTTTTTATTCTGTGATCAAATAAAATTAAGGGTGCTATTTCAATTTTTTAGACTTGTTTGTGTACTAATTTTTGGGGAAATCATATGAACTATGGAGAAGAAAGTGTATTCTTTAGTGTTTGGGTAGAATGTTCAGTAAGTATCTGTTCAAGCCATTTGATTTATGATATAATTTAACTCCAGGGTTTCTATATTCAATTTTGTTTGTATAACCTGTCTAGTCATATGAATGAGGCATTAATGCCATTCATAATCACTGTTTCATGGTCAATAAGCAATTTTAGTTGCAATAGTATATCTTTTATGAAATTGGGTGACCCCATGTTTAGTGAATAGATGTTTAGAATTGAAATATACTCTTGGCAGATTTTCCCTTTAATGAGTATATTGTGTCCTTTCCTATCTCTTTGAACAATTTTGGATTTCAATTTTCAATTTGTCAGATATTAGAATAGCTATCCCTAATTGCTTTCTTTGTCCCTTTTGCTTTGTTTGCCTTGTTTTCATTCTTTTACTCCAAGGTGATAGTTTTCCTTGATGGTGACTTAGGTCTCTTCGAAGTAGCAAAATGATAAATCCTGATTTCTAATCTGTGCCTTTTTATTTAAGATTTGAAGCAATTAATATTGTGAGTTTTATTGAGTAGTGCTTATGAATTCCTGACATTATGCCATAATTGTTAAAGAAATTACCACTATGGGAATTAGGGAAAACCACATATTTTGCACTAGGACAGGAAAGGTACGGCAAGGATAAGAAACCATTTATCAAAAACTGCAGTTTGGGAAATGCAAATTAAATTGAAAGAAAACAGATTTAACTGATAATGCTTATAAAGGGTGCTGCATTCTGATATAATCACTTGTGGAATGTTTTCATAGGTTTTTGACACCAGAGGTCACAGAGGCAACTGCTGCTGTGGTAGAAGTCCACTAAATCTGGAGATGAGAGTGAAATTTGGCAATGTCATCCGCTCCATACAGTGAATTGGTAGAATAATGTAGTATACAAGGAATATGGGGTTTTGAAGGATGGTACCAAGGTCCCAGACAGCTTCTGAGGTTGGGCAATGTATATCAGCATTTCTACTAGAAAACAAGAAGCCATTTTATGAGATTGTGAATGTGAAGCACAAGGAACAAAAGAGATCTTTGGATGTTGGAAATGCCAGGATTGTGAAACAGCCACCAAGGAAAACTGTACACATGGAAAGGCATCAATCCAAGGGAGAGACTCATGTGGAAACATTGGCAGGGAAAGGCTTCCAAGGCTAGTGGAACAATGATTCTATCGTGAGATTTATATGCTGACGTGGAGCTACAGGATTTGTTTTCTGCTGGGCTCCAGTCTGCTTTGATACAGTGTTTCCTTATTGTGGTTCAACTTCTCACATTTTAAATGAGAATATTCCCTTTGTGCCACAGTGTATTTAAAGTACGTAACACATTTGACTTTATAGGATCTCATAGTTAAAAATTTGCTTTGAGTCTCTGATGAATCTTTTCATTTTAGGTATTTGAACAGTGTTAGAATTATTAAGACTTGAGAGACTTTTACATTAGATACATTTTGCATTATGAGATTGGTATGAGACTTTGAGGATCAGGGAGAAAGTTTATGAATTAAAAAATGTTTTTGGCTGTCAAATCAACATAAGATAGCTAATCTTGGTTATCAATTGTTGCAGGGTCCTGGTGGGTGTCCCTTGGGTGTGGGGGAAAATAGATGTGGAACCAATGACACCGGTACCGGAAACAAGTCAAAACAAGCAGCTCGCTTTATTTCAGACAGGCACAAGCCTTATACACCTCCCATCCTGCCCCAGAGGGTAAATACACTGAGCCAGTATCTGCTGAGGTGTTGTGGTCGCTGTCCAAAAGTCCATGCCATCTCTCGTCAAACTCAGTTACTGTTGTCAAGGCCCTCTGGCAGACCCAGGCAGACTGTCAGGAAACATCTACAGTGCACGGTCTTATTATTGATCTAGACCATCTATCAGGCTCAGGGTTAGTTACTCCACATTTCCATCCTTTTTATTATTATTTTGACAGGACACACTCCGTGGGAGCTAGGGTGCTTTGCTCTGGCCTTGCTGTTCCCACCTCAGGAGGGC